CCCCCCCCCCCCCCCCCCCCCCATTACCATCATAGCAGAAGGCACTTCATCCCACAAGAATCGCCATGTCTCAACAACTACGGCAAACCCCTCGAAAAAAATTGCAGATTCGACAAGCTCTCTTTCAGAATTAAGGAGAAATAAATACACGCACAGAAGACTACCCATTCGAGATATACCCACAGTCGAACGAATTATTTTACTGCGGCGGAATCATCCCCGAGCTCGTTGATGAAGCACTTAAAAAAAATCAGAACCAACATTTCAAATTTTTTCGCCCACATCAGCCCCAACGGCTGCCACACATAAAGAGGTCGCGGTCCACGCCCATGGCTCTTTAAGCTGCGCGACAAGTCCCTGGCGACCATACTGGCGACCTTGGCTCATCGTGGTGGTATGCTGGTGAATGTGCATCAGCACAAGGCTCCGAAGAAGTTCTGCAGGACGGTGGCCAACTTCAACGAGGTGTACCGCGACGGACTCCAGGGCCCTGAAGCAGTACAGAAGAGGGACTAATCGCAAGCCGGCTCCGTCTGAGTACATTGACCCTAAGTGATGTACACGTTTATTCTGTGTTGTGTGGTGTTGAAGCGTACGTACGTTATATGTCGACATGGGTGTATCAATAGGTTATTTTCTGTCTGGGTCGTTGTCAGTGGCATTGTTGCAGTGCGTGGTGTATTGTTTTGTTCCCCCTTTTCGTTGGCGGATNCCTGAAGCAGTACAGAAGAGGGACTAATCGCAAGCCGGCTCCGTCTGAGTACATTGACCCTAAGTGATGTACACGTTTATTCTGTGTTGTGTGGTGTTGAAGCGTACGTACGTTATATGTCGACATGGGTGTATCAATAGGTTATTTTCTGTCTGGGTCGTTGTCAGTGGCATTGTTGCAGTGCGTGGTGTATTGTTTTGTTCCCCCTTTTCGTTGGCGGATTCTCTGTGTGCGACAATATGTATGGCCGTGCGTATAACGTTCAGTAGTGGCACAAATGAAGAGTGCAACGTGCGTGGGTACCGTGGGGTCATTGTACAGAAGGGCCTCCATTCGATTGAAGGAATCAAGCATGCATGGGAAACAAGCCGGTGCGCATGGGCCACATTTCCTGTCCCGCCCTAGGACGGCGCCATATGTACACGTTTCAACATGTTCTTGTTTTTTTTCATGATGAGTATCTTCGTTCTCCTCTACACATTTTTGTTACCACGGACCGAGTCTTGTCTAGATTTTGGGATTAGCAACTGACACGAGTTTAATGTGAAGAAAACAACAACAACAACAACAACAACAACAACAACAACAACAACAACAACAACAACTCAAGCCCCGCCGATACAAAGCAAAAAGAAGGAGACGCGGGATGTTTTGAGTTCTTGGTTGCCGAAATATTAGACAAAGAATTATCATCCCCCCCCCCCCTAGAAATGCCTTGAAAATCCTATACGAAAACCATGAAATTCCAGGAACGCCTCAAATCGATTTGGTCCCTGAACAACTCCTGTGGCAAATAGGATGTAGATTACTACTAAAAACAAAAAATTGAAAAAAGTGAAAAACTCGTGAAGTTATGGCCGGTCAACCAAAATCGGCCTGACGAATGCCGGCACTGTACCCTGTGTCATGATATCGCAGCTTCTCCGACGATCGCCGGCCCCATCGTGGCCGGTGTCGTCATTGAGGGTGGCAAACCGATCCGTCGACGTCGTTTAGGCCTCTGCCGCGCCGACTCTTTGTTCACCCGTGGTGGCCCCAGAAGCTTTTATCTACCGTACGTCTTTTGCGCTGTGCTCGCGGCTGAGTTGGGTTGTGAATTCCTCGCGCCGAGCGGAGGCGCCAAGATCGTCATTCTGCTGTTTTCTTGCCTTAGGAAGCGAAGTGGCGTTGTGACACATCCCTTTCCCCCGGCTTTATTCGGAATACGCGCTGTATGAGCCCGGCATTTCCTGTGGGGACGTTTGCAATACACATCAGAGTCTGATGCCAGTCGCCAAGGAGAAAGTCGTTTTATACTGAATCACGTGTCCCGCGAAGGAGTGGTGTGACTGTCCACCAGCGGAGAGTCGTTTTCAAGATCCGTCCGAACCGGGGGGTCGCTTTTGGGAGAAAAAAGCTTCGGACCAAAGGAAAGTTATCTGGCAGGTCCCCTGCTGCATGTGTGTGCCTGTACATCTTGGAAAATGAAGTCCTGGCTTCCGCAGAAGGCGCGAAGAAGCACAAGAAAAACAACAGCAAACCGGTCGCGGAACAGAGGCGACCCAAAAACAATAGCTTCCACTCTAGCGAGCTAGGCAGCTCACGATCTGGCGGCGCAGGGCAAGACAAAAATTAAATCACAGCACACGGCATTCAAGAGAGGGCCCAGCACAAAAACAAACAAAACTAAAGCGATGCGCATTACAACTACTTTTGCCCTCCGTATGTACCCCGCCCACACCAACTCCATGACAAGACATCTGATCACCGTCTTGCCACGGAAGTCGTCTGGAAACCACGACCAAAGCCACAGAGTGGTAAGAAATACACAGCACGGTAATTTCCTGCTTTTGGTGCATCCCGCACGCCGAGCGAACAACGATGCGTCGGCTATCTTGCAGGCTAAAAAAAAAAAATCCAACAGGTGGGCTTCACCCTATTCAATCATATCAGCCACGCCGTGAAGCGGCTGATGGGCTTTACACTATGAGATTATATCAGCCACGCCGCGAAGCAGCTGATTACAAAAAAAAACGTTCTCTCAGCCCAGTTCACACAACGTTGTTTCTCTCTCCCGAGAGGGTCCGGGTGGACGTAGGTAAGTGCGGAGTGCGGAGAAGATGGACAGAACAGCTTTAGACACAAAGGCGGCAACAGCAAACACTAGGGCGATCCAACACGCACACACGCTCAGGCTGCTTGCCCCCCCGCAGAAGTTACGTCGCTCAAAACAACCAACAGAGATGCATGACGCATCCACGTACACCTCCACCACAACAAGAGTACCTTCTTTACCCGTTCTCTCTCGCTCGCTCCGCTTACTCCTCTCCCTCTCTTCAATCGAAAGGACAAGAGCCCGATCACACTTAGACTACAAGACTTCTGGCAGCGGCGAGGCGGGGGCCTAACCCAAACTCGGGAATGTTTCTTTACTGCACTTATACTACATACGAAAATTAAGGTAATTAACATTTCTCGCCGGACAAGGATGAGGCAGGGAAAAGTCCCGGCTGTTTTCGGAGGCACTGTTAAAGACTCTCAACGAACGCGGCGCGAGACCATACAACCACCGCAGCAGCTTGCGGCATCGGGGGCAAAACCTTGTCGCTACCTCGCCGGTAGGCCCCGCAACAGTGCCGCACCAGATCTCGGAGAAGAAGGCATCTCGTCCGGGCCGTCGGGCCCATCGCCGCCGCTGCTGCTGCCGCCACCCCCACCCCCACCCCCAGGATCGTTCCCGCTATCACCGCTGCCGTCGCCGCTAAGGCTCCCGTCCGCACGGTCTTGCGACGGCGATATTCCTGTCGAGGCCGAAGAAGCCCCGAGGGCTAGGTAGTCCGTCATGATCTGTACGCGTCGAGCGGGCGGAGAGGACACCATCGAGGAATCGTTAGTGGTTGCTTTTGTCGCCACCTGTTGCTTGGGGGTTGGGTGTCGCTCTGAACATCCCTGCCCGGTGTGCCTGAGCACTTTCGGTAAGGCTTCGCGTTTGGTAAAAGACGATGGCGAGGTTTGTAAGTCACAGACTGATTTGATGCCAGGATATATGTACACAGTTCGACTGCACGGTCGACGAGGGTAAGGGACGGCTGAACCCCTCTCGACACAAAAGCAAACCGAAGACAACGCGGGAGAGCGGGGGAACAAAACTGAAAAACACAAATAATTCGGAAAGCCCCTAGTGTGACCTTTCCCAAGTGTGACACACCACATCCGCTGTCGATAGAACCCTCACTTACGACTAGAACGTGTTCGTGTTTTCATCCCGATACAACACTGATGCCTTTTCTTTTCACTTTGGTCAGCCGGTTAGCGCGGTCGATGCAAACTAAGAAAAACAACATACACACACCCTTCCAGAGACCTCGATTTTACCCGCTGGCGCTGACGTCTTTCCATTGGTCAGCCGCCAAGCGCGATGGACGCTAAATAAGAACAACCACATGCACCAAAACACACAAAACACACACCTGCCCGTGATCGAACGCGAACTCTCCAACCGTCTCTCCCAGCGACGCCAGGGGGATGGAAACTACCGCCGCCGCGTCACTGCCTGCCCGAGGTGTGCCCGTCGTACGAGCCACGTACGCCACGCTCACCTGGATGGATTTGTTCACGTATAGGAGTTAATTCCTCCGGCAATCAAAATCAACCCAACGGCAGACAGAACCAACCGTCGATCGCGAAAGCATCGTCATGCACCCGGCAGCCGGCGCGTGGAGCAAAGGAGGAGGGGCTGGGAGCGGCGCAAAGGAGGCGTGTGTGTTTTCATGTAGTTTCATCCACATCGACCGCCCTGTGTAACGGCCTGGCCCATGAGAGGGTGTCGGCGAGCGCGAATACCACTCTGTGCGTGCGCAGTCATTGGATTGGCATGGACCGCGCTAACCAGTCGGAAAACGGCATGACGTCTATCCCGTGAATTTGTGTACGTGTGAGTCTTGTGTGTGAGACGGACGACTACAGCCACGGTGAGAGATTCGGAGACAACCAAGTACTGTACACCGCCTAGAACCGTGTGCGTCGAGCATGTAGGCTTGACGTGCGTAACGTTGTTGCTGGTGCGATGCTGATTGGTTCCGCTGCTCACTGTATGTCTTCTGGCATCTCTCGCTGGGTCGTCGTACATCTGCATCAGATCGCCGCGTGTTTGGTGGTGGTGCAAGGAACGAGACGAGAGCAGCGAAAATGGCAGCAAGGTAGACATACTTAGGGTGGGAGGTAAGGGAGAGGTAGTGGAGTACAGCAAGCAGGGGGGGAGGCAAGGCATAGGAGGGAGAGCGATAGGTAGTAGGGAGACATATATCACGGCGACAACACGAAAGGCTTAGGGGGGGAAGAAGGGCGCTCGAGTACATGGCGGCTCGTCGATTTTAGGATGCCCAAGCACAAAAAATAGGGGTTGAGAGAAACCAAATGAAAATCCCGCTTCCACCGAAATAAATTTTTTCCGGCAAGGTGTGGCCCAAAGCCTCTCTTCCATGATGGCGCTGTGTCCTTGGGAGAAGGGGTCGATCGACGCTCGGCAACGCTCTGCCTACGTTAATCCACGACAAAAACACCAATTGAACCATCTACCGATTGCTCAGCCCGCAGGGGCATTTATCTTACCGCCTGCCTCCCCGCTACACAAACACACATGCCACAAGGAAACTCACCCGTGGCAACATCTGCAACGACGTCACCTCCAGCCCCGTCTCCTCCCTAACCTCTCTCCTAGTGGCCTCCTCCAGCGTCTCCCCGACCTCCACGAACCCCCCGATGCACGCCAGCTTGCCGTTGTCTTTTCTTCGCACCACCAGCACCGATCCCACCTGCTCCCGGGGGGGGGGAGGCGATTCGACGACGGGGAAAGAAACACCACTACAAATTTACGCGGCCCCGTCTTTTGGTTGCGGGAGGGACTGACTGCCCCCAGCTACAAAGAAAATCGATGGGGATAGATGCTTGCTTTGCTGCCGCTGAAGGCATGACCTTCTTGAAGAATCTTCTTGGATAATCTTTTCGGCGTTTGGGTATTTGTAGAACGCTACCCGGCGGCAGAGACAAGCTTGTGTGTGTACTTGTACACCGCAAGCGCGGAGACCCTACGAAGCACGAGCACCGTTGCCTTGCACCTAAACCTTGGGTGTGTCATCGCACAACTCCCGGACAAGCCTCGATCACTTCGGTCTGAAACCCTCGCGACAAACAGCCGGCTGCTTCGTATCTACCCAGTCCCGTAGCTTGTCTTACCTCTCCGGTGGCCGGGTCAGACACCTCTACGACCGTGTCGATGGCTAAGCTCGGAGTGCACATGCAGTACTCGTCCCACCCGCACCAGCACGAACCCGCGTGCGTTTTGGACGCCCCGTGCCACTGCCTCGGACAGTCGTGGGTGACCGATTGTAACGCCTTTTGGGGGGGGGGGGGGGGGGGNGGGGGGGGGGGGGGGGGGGGGGGGGGGGAGAAGGAAGCGGCGAGTTGGGTGCAGGGAATTGCGCTTCGGTGTTGAGCACATAACGCCAATATTGTGTTGCAGTTCGTCTACAAAAGTACCATCACGTTGAACTCAATTGAGGCACAGTGCTACAGGAGGACATTGCGGGGAACCGCCGCGTTGTCGGAGGCACCAAAGCGGGTTGCCCTGTCAGTTTGCGGTTCAACGCCGTCGGAAAATGATACGCGGGGCCTCGTGGCACGTGTGATCATTTAAGTGACGGTGCCCCCTCTCGAAGGAGCTGCCCTCTCCCTTTCACTTCCCACATATGTTACACCCTACACCGGAACCAAACTGAAACGTTGGACCAAGTACGCCCAAAGATTGGGCTACGAATGGCGTTTCTTCGAACAAGCGAACCTCTGCGCCATGGCAGCTAACCGAAGCCCGTTCCTTCTCTTCCGGGCGATTTTTCCATTTTTTTAGGGTAACTTTTACGCCAACATTACAAGTCGATTCGAGTCTTGGAACCCCGTGACATGGTAGCACAATCGTGAGCCTGCCTTCAAACTAAGTAACAAATCAAATGCTAGAAGTCGACTCGATGGAATCGCCCAGCAGCTTTACCACTTGACGCTCTCACAACATTGGGGTAAATAAGCCATATCTTGGCTCCTGACTGGAGGGTGTTTATTGATCCCTCAACCTACTGCTGTGGGTACTCGTGTTCGCGGAGACCGCTAACTTCTGCTTGGCATAACATTGACAGATGCAATACAAACGTGAGGACGCTTTCGAGAACTGTACGCCCATACAGCAGTGGCATTCGTATGCCGCTAACCCACCATATGACAAGCCGCTTTTGGCAGAGTACTGCTGTGCGATTCCACCACTGAACATGTTCCCCCTAAAAGTAGAAGCTCTGAGCACTACAGCGATACTGCTTTATATTTGGTTCCAAAAGACACCGGGGACTCACAATGACTCCATTGAGTTTTTGGATAGGGCTGCATATGGAACGGCGTCGTCGCTGGCAAATAGCACAAAGGTGCCTGAAGCTGTTCTGACTGAGGGTGTGTCGTGGGACGTGTGTGATCAGGTCAGGCATGTCGCTGCCACAGCAGGTGCCGTCTACCACCGTTTCAAGCAATGTATCGGTATGTGTTGTCATATGTGTTATGCTCATGAATCTGGGGGTTTTATTGCGTGTCGCGGACCCCCACGGCTTCATCACTACGTACGTAATGACAGTATTCCCCGGATCCCTCTCGTTTTTACCCACACCGGATGTATAGGACCATCGGTCGCCCCGGTGGTCTACAGTAGTGGTATCCTCGTAATCCGCTAGTTGCAGAGGTCGTGAGTTCGATTCCCATGGGGTGAAAAATTTACGGAATGTGCGGGTGAAAGCGAAATATTGCTGACAAGCTCTCGTGAGTACCAAACTCCGACGTTAGCGCCGTTGGTGAGCGAAAGGGACGGCTGGACCCTTCTCGCGATAAAAACAAAATTCAGCACGCACAGCAGGAGGAAGGTGGGGCATGAAAAGAAAGTACGTAAGACATCGACGGCTGTAGGACCACAACTTTTAAAAAGAAGAATACAATAGCCCAGGCCCACTCGATCCCGTTCCTCACTCAGACCTATCTCTGATGATCGGTGGACGCCACAGCGGATCGCCCTTTCGTCTCAAAGCACCAGCCGTCAATTCTGTGGTCGCTGCTGCTGCTGCTGCTGTAAGCGTATACGTCATGACCGCCCCTGCTTGTCCGCTTCCCAATAACGTATTTCTTACTCGCCACTGCTGCTGTACGATTTGATCCCGCTCCACAAACCGCAGATTTCCTTCGTTCAATATGGCACTATGGTTGAGTAATCTATTCTGCACATGCACTGTCCCTTCTTCCCCTCGCTCCTCGACAAGCTTTTGCTTAGACATGGGTTGTAGCGAAGGGGGGGGTCTTTCTGGCGAGCAGGGCTAGACTCACCCTCAAGGGATGACCGAAACCTTCTTGCTGCTGCGCATCCGCCGCGAGGCGTGCGTGTGGTGGTGGAGTTGGGTCGGCACTGATGGGGTCAGGCGGGAAAATGTAGATGCGCGGGC